CTATTTTAAAATATTGTCTGCAATAGCTTCAGCTGATTGTAGTTACTAAGATCTTTCATTTATCTTTGCATATGGGCGTTTCATAAAAGTACATTTTCCTTCTTTGAAAAGCTGAAAATAGGCATGGCTTACTCTCGACAATAACAGATAATGCCAGAGATTCGAGCAACCAAACACCTCTTCATCAGCAACTAAAACCAACCTAAGTCTTTCTCTGATAATCGTATACTGATTTTAGTGAGGACTGTCATGAAATAAATTTAAATTTATATTATTATTATTATTAATTTCGCCAGAGAAATAAATTCTAAGACTAAACTCTTAAAAGTCTAAGGCTACCGGCTTTTATTAAAAACTCTACCGCACTTGAGATTCGAACCCACGACCATTGACTTGCTAGTCGAGATTCGTCGCCTTCGGCTACTCAGGCGGATTGAATTTATATATCTTCTATGATTTCCACCATATTTGATTAAATGGATAACATTCTGTTTTAAATATTCAAATCGCAGGTCTCATATTAGACTTTTGTCTCTTCAGCGGCCCCTGCCTTTATTTGCTTCAAATCTTAATGATTTCCCTATGGTTATTTAGCATGCTAGAAGTTCCAAGCATAAATATGATATTAAAATTTAAGTCCTTCGAAGATCTAATATAAATCTAAAGGCTAATATAAATCGCGCAGTCCTATAGCGTAAAGTAATCTTCATGTGTTTAAACTTGAATAAATGCAAAAAACTGACTTTATGTACAACGTCTTCCCTTTCCGCATTTTCCTCTATTAATAACCTTAAATTGGAATTAGTGTCTTCATTTTCTGATCTAGACCGATCTTTGGTAGCAAGCTTCGCTTCGTTCTACATATCCTTCTTATAGTTTGTACAGCGAAAAGTTAGTCAGTCTTTATTAAACGAATGAAGCAAGGAATGCTCGAAAGATTTCGACGCGCCCTATGTAACGAACAGATTATTTATACGTTATGCACACCTAATCTATAGTTTCATCCCCAATTTAGAGATGTCACATTCACTCATTAGGGTTTATTCAGAAACAGCTCTCATTGTTTGCGCTATGTAATCTTGATTAGGATCCGATACGCTTTTCGCGCCGCCTCATGAACATTAGCTTAAAGTATTAATTGATTTACTCTCGCTCGAAAAGCATTTTTTTTTACGTACAAATTTTATGTGTGATACGCTAAATGTTGGAGTTGATACACTGGTTTTATTAAACGAAATTAACATAAACATACCCCGTCGTCTAACCCTTTAATTTTAGTCAAATAAACTTAAACAAAGTAGACTCAATCATGAGTTAGTTAATCCTCTTTATGTTCGGTGTAATAATCGTAATAATATTTATCATCTAGTATCGATTTTTGAAGCGAACTACATAACCGTCTAGATCGTCTAGCCCGAACTTTTTTTTTCCAAACAAGTGTTTGGCAAACTTCTGCTTCTTTGTGCCGTTCCACTGATATGCTTTCATTCTATGTTCATAAAGTTTTCTGTTTGCAGGTTGACGTATGTAAGCTTTTGTTTTCTTTCATCGTTTTCTCTTCTTGTTCTCTTTTAGTTTTTATTTATTTATGTTTAATTTACAATTGATCTCTTCTCCTTCTCAAGTTTTGTTTACATTAATTATAGCTATGAAGTACACATACATAGATTGAGTTATGCTCGACTGATAGCTCTTGTACTTGAATTCTATATATCAATAAATAAATAAATAAGTTATGCAATTGAATAAAATTCATTTTGAACAGAAGAAAAATTTAATAACAGAAAGTGTAAAAAGTTTCTCGGTACTTTTTCCCCAAGTTATCATATGATCCGAGTGGTAAGTTCAAAATAAGTTGTTTCGTCTGCTTTTAGACCGTATAATAGAGTCCCATGGCAAAAAAAATGCTTCCCCCCTTCACAATCTTCTTTGCACAAAACAATCCTCTATTTTCTATTACAAAAAGTATTGATGTTTCGCACGGTTAAACTTAATAGAGAACCGGAAAGAAAATGATCAAATGAAAAGTAAACAAATATTTATGGGCCAATAAGAAAATTTTTCCGTTAATACCTTTCATCGTTAATTTGAAATAAAATAAAATTTAATTCCAAACATTTTTAATTTTTGATTATATTTCCGTATAAAAATTAATTAGCCTTGAAACTGTCATTAATGACGTTTTGTATTCGTATAATTAAGAATAAAAATCAAGAAACAACAACAACAACGACAAATTTACAACTTTGAGATAAGAAACTTGACGTAGACCTTATCAGGGCTATCAGCACATACTCTTGTAATACGAAACGTTTATAACGGATCTACTATATATTGAACTCGGCATGAATTGAAGAATTCCGCATTTATAACTGTTATTACACGATAAATTTTACGCTTTATACGATTTATATACAAAAAAAAATTATGATTTTATTTTATTATTTTAAATTTTTAGGCAGCAAGCACCGTTGAAAAGAAAATTTTTAGTATCATTCTCACATGAAATTTTAATCGTTTCGCAAGAATAGGTGGCTGTAGCATCTGTTTTGTGCTGAATTTTTGGAGATAAAAATACATATCTTAAGGAAACAAATACAAGAAAAGCAAAGAATTTATGTGGAAATTTTTGTCATTGTACATGTAACGCGGTAGAATATTTGCGAATGGAAAATCAAAATGGGATAAGTCTACCAAATCTGAATCTGAAAAATTTAGAAATGTGATTGCAACTCTTGAATTCATGATTAAGTGCTCAGGATAAGTCAATGAAAGAAATACTGAAGGATTTTAAATATCTACACGGTTCACGGTTTTAGTTGATTTTGGTCTTTCTTTCAAAATGATAAATGAAAATGGACCGAAAAGCTAAATAGGCTAAACGGGAAAGCTCCATCTACATGTCACTACTAGCAGCTTACGCATAGAAAATGAAAAACGATTGCGAAGAGTCGAGGAAGAGTGGAAATAGAGTAAAAATAAAACCAAGGTCCACGTTTCGCATTAATTTCCGGAGGCATTGGAGGCATGGTCAATTCAAAGTTGGCGGAAATTCTTATGTGAAAATGTTTTCAATTGATTGTCGGTCGATCGATAGTTAAGAGAAAGCTCACGGCTTTTATATATTTTTCTCAAGTAGGATACATTGGAAATTCTTATCAGTTATGTCTACGCCTTAAAGATTATGTTACAATTATTAAATATTTCCCTTAGATGGACATGTGCATTGAAATATTCATAATATTTTTATTGATCAGGCATAAAAGCTGAAATGACTTAAACAAATTCGTCGGTCTATTCATCGTGATAATGAACTTCAAAAAAAACTTGATTTGAAATTTTTATTTATAAGTCTTGCCGCAGTAACAAAAAAACCCGTTGAACCGATTCGAATGTTGTCCTAAGACGTAGGAGAGATGAAAATAACGAACTTGCGTCAAATTTATATGAAAATCTTTTTGAAGACATTAAACTATGTACGATATACACCGAAGGAGTTCGTTGTTACTCTCTCTTTCGAGCATAAGTTATATCGAGAATGCATACTTCAAATATTTGGTGCAATTGTGACTTATATTCGCTCTATTTTATGCTTTATATGATTATTTTTTTTTTATTATCTTTATATTCATTATTATTATATCATTTTTATTATTATTATCATTATTATCATTATCATCCTTCTTGTAATTATTATTGTTATTATCATTATTGCTATGATTATAATTTTAATTATTATTCATTATTATTCATATTAATATATATATTATTTTTTTATTGATTGATATGAATGCTATCCTTTTAAAAATGGAAGCTGACTTACACCTATATATATATAATTTATATAATTCGAAGGGTATACCGTATTTTTTGGACTATAAAACGCACCTCTTTACATAGAAAAGTAGACTTAAAATTTGGGTGCGTCCTATGGCACGATGGTAACATTAAACGTTCTAGACGTATTTGCCAGTTCACCTGCCCTTCTGCCTACTAATTATGATTAATGCAAAAATCAACTACGTCTACCCGACTTCCCAGAATATGTTTTTCCTGATTTTGGGCCTTTTCTTAGAATAACAGCGATGAGTGTAAAAGATTCGGTCACAACCGAACATAAATTTCTTACTTATTATTATTATTATTATAATAATCAATTTATTATTTTATATTATTATTTTAAATCAATGACGATAAATTGATATTATTACCGTATACTAGATCGATCATTTCAATTAATATTTATTTTCTCTTTTTCCTTTTTATTAAACATTTTTACACAATTATTTTAGTTATAATTTTTAATTTAAAACTTAATCGGATTACTAGACCGTGTGATGGCAAATTTCTGTTTTGTAACTTAATGTTTTCCTTAATTAATCGGAAAATTAAATTGAAAATAATTTTTGTTTTGTTTTTATTTATTTTTTTTTTTTCTTTGTTAAATTAATTCAAATTTTCTTCGCATAAAGGAGAAGTTTATAAAAACTACAATAATTGTACATAAAATTGCTACAAAAACAAAATTCGCTTTCAACACACAAAAATGATTAAACTAAATAAAATTTTATACTATTTTATAAAATATACGTGTATGTGTATATTTGTGTATCTGTGGCTTTCTTTGTATTATGTAATACCTAAGGCGTAATATTCGATTCGGGATCCGCGTAAACATCATTTTGGAGATGATTTTCATTACAATTCATTCATTGATATATTTCTCTAAATACAGTATTTGGTGTGTGTATGTGTGTAATGGCAGTTGAAACTTCCAAACATTTAGTTATTACAAAAAAAAAAAAAAGACGGGAAACAAAAAACACAAATAAAAATAAATAAAAATATCCAATGTATGACAATCACATCTATCCACATAACGAACATTATTAGTTTGATGATTGAATTTTCTAAAAAACCAAAAACTGAGTTGAAAACTGTTTTTATATGATAAAAATTTGAAATTGTAAATTTTTGAAAGGTTTATAGCTTAAAACTGATTTTTAAATGAATTAAATTAATTTAAAAAAAAAAAAAAAACACTTTGTTGTTCGAGAAATTTATAATATAAGCAGCAGAATGGTGGTAATTTTCGCATTAATCGATTAAAAGTTCAAAGTGTACTGAACCGACTCGTTCTTTGCGATCGTGTATGATATTACGGGCCCAAGCTTTACATTCAATGTTAATGATAATACCACCTATCAATATATCAAGAAAGTTATTTATTACATGTTTTTCGATGAAATTGTTTTACTTACGTTTAGGTCTTTGAAAATGTACGGCCACAAGAGGGCTAAGATATCCTTCAGAATTTTGATAGGGATAAAAATAGCCAGGGAATCCTCTAATTGGCAAATAATCAACTGGTCCGACATTCTCTTGATCGGCTGGATTTTCACCTTCACATGATACCCAAATGGTATTCATCTGAGAATGAATAATTATTTTAACATAAAAAATGTTCATTCCCAACATCCATCGATTTTTACCTTGTGCATTTGAGTTTTTTCCATTTCTCCTATATACGTTTTTAGATTTCGTGGCATTTCGTTTGGCAAATTTGACGAATCATTATAATATTCCGGTATCCAATCATAAATTTTATTTAATTTGAGGAAAACACATGGCGAACTCTTGTGATAACTGTAATTATTTTCCTTAGTGCACGGTGACCAGGCTTTAATGTCCACATCACATACTTGACCCTTCGGTGGTGGTTGATTATAATCGCAATTATAAATATTTTGACCACGTCCAGGCGTTAAACCAGGTACTTTGTAAACTTTGTTTAATCAAATATAAAATGTTATCGCATTATTATTATTATTATTATTATTATTATTATTAACGAATTTAATAATATCTTAAGTATACCTGCGAGAAACTCATCCAGTGAATCTGTCCATTGTTTGTAATTATCGTGATGGGTTCCTTTGTACCAAATCAATGTACTTTCAACATTCTCTGTCGGTGGTAGCGGACGAAAACCGAGACCTGTTCAACAATATATATTTTAGATGAATTTGTAAAATAATGCATAATTAGCTAAACTAACCAGGATTTGTGCCTATTAATGAGCCATCTAAAGTCCATTTTGGTATACGTGGATCCAATGTTTGTAGAAAAGCCCACATGCAAATGGCGACCAGCGCCGCTAAAACACCATAAAATGCTGTATAGAATACACCAATTTTTGCTAAAAATATATGGAAAAATAAAAAAAAAGACAAAAAAAACAAAAGATTATAAATAAAATGGAAAACTCTTTCATTAAGCTTTTAACTCGGTGTATGAACTACTTATTTATTATATATTTATTTACTTTATCGCTGATTGAGTGACTGACTTGAAATATTCTTTTCCTCTCATTTTCCCTTATGTCGGTCGCATTTAATTAAATGATTCTTTATAACATATGCATGAATTCTATGTAGAAACACTTATGCGCTAACCCCTCAAGGGCATCGTTTAATTGACTTTTTATTGCCTCGATCTGAACGTTTATTTATGCATGGTCTTATAAATTGCAACGTCTTTCGAATTGCTTGCATGTATGCGTGCGTATGTGACAAAATTAATAAATTAAATTAATTAATTGTATTACGTTTGATTTATTCACACAAGTTCACAATTACTGGTTAATTTAATTATTACCACAATTTCAACTAAACATAATCTAGACTAGAAAAAATTATCGTTATTTTATCGTCATATCGGAAACGCATTATTACGTATGTATTTGAATCGATTGTTTGATTTGCGATATATATCGCATAACGTCTACGATCTGGCAAATACACTGCAACTTCTCAACTTATGAAGAAAATGTGATGAAACGTTGACTTGTAGTGTTTGAGGGCTGATATTACTTCGAAATTTTATGGAGCCTATCAATAGTGTTGCCCCATATATCCCAGACCGGGGACTTATTGAGTGATGCGATATATGATGTTTGATTTCGAAATTCGATGGAAAATATTATAATAATTACATAAATGACTTATCCAATTTTTTTATACAAATATGAAGATCCGTTAATATCTACGATATTAAAGTATCCCAAATTTCAAATCACATTTACTTTCTATCATTTATCAATAGAGTAAGGTCTAGTCACGTTTCAAACCCAGGGCGAGAATTTCAATTCGTGGTGTAAGGGCAATTTGAACCATTCTTGTGAGTAAGTGAAAGAAAATGTGCTTTGCTCATCCCACGAGTAAGAACATTATAGTCAGGCAAGGTCGACCATTAGATATGCTACACGATTTCGTTTAATTAATAACACAGCAAAAAGTTATACATTATCTATGTGGAAACGCAAAATGTTCATGAAAGACCGCGTATTGGATAATAGTCATACGTCAACGTGGTCTAAATTTAGCTAAGCTAACTTGCTTTTCAAAGCAATTATTATTTTCCAGTTGCTTCCGTCATAACAACCTACAAATTAAGCCTTGTCGGCATAGAAAGCAAGCATTCTACACAGGTATGGTCCAGTCTAGAATATATGGTCGATTTACTAGACATTGTCGACGCATAAAACCTTATTTTTCATTTGAAATTTTAAATAGGTTGGGATGCAAAAAATAGACTCACGTGGTCCAAAGTCGGTAAGGTTGGAAGAAGTATTCATAGTTAAACATTTTTATCGTATAAAGATTCATCAAAGAGATATAAAAAAATTAGCACCGATTTAGAAGGCCGAAATACAGTTACTAGGCAACTTTTGTCGGAAAGACCTGCAAATTACAATATATTCTCATATCGCGATTTATTAAAATAAGATTCGATCCAAATCATCAGACGGACAGCCTAGAACGAGCCAGAAGATTCTTCTGAATTGTTCGGTATTATAAAAGGTGGGTCAATCATAAACCCTTCTAAATGGTACATGCAATTTAATATACCCAGTACCACAAGTGGCGGAGGTTGTACAGATATCAGACACGCCAAGTCTCGTAGTTGTAATTGTGAATTTCAATAGACACATACAGATACGGCTAAATGGACTCAGCAGTTTGCTTATCAAGTTCACTTTCTGTAATAGTAAATTTCCAACATTTCGCCTATCTAGTATATAAGCAACAGCGGTTTGAAAATGTGTTTTTACCAAACTTTCGAAACATTCTGGCATGTAGACGTCTGCACATATAGCAGCAAGCAGTAACTACATACGTTTCGATCCTTTCATAGATGGCTTTTTTATAATTATATTTTTTTAGTAAGGAAATAACATTCGTTGGGTAGGACATGTGTTTATTGTGCGGATCATGCAGTGAAGATTCTAGTGTTTTTAAAGTGTTGCCCGATTATTTCGCTGTAAACGTTATCCACAATTCCAATATGAAAGACATATATTCCAAAGAGAGTTTCGCATACAGCGTAGGACTTAGATGCTTATCTAGGTAAAGAGAGTATGCGCAACAATGTCGGTACCTCAAAGCACAATGACATAATGTTTTCATGCTCCGGAATGTGCTGTTCCAATGTACAATTTCATTCAAGGCAAGAATTCCGTAACAAAAAAAATATATTCTTCCATCAATCAAAGCCTTTAGGACTACTCGTCTTTTTCGGTCACCATGTCCGCTCACGAAGTCCCCTTGTAAAGGGAACTAATTGCAGTTTTCTTTTCGACTATTCAATATAGTCCAGTTTTCAGGTCACAAATATTAATTCTTTTCTGGTTTTCCTCTCCAGCTATAATACTTTTTGGTCATCATACTTCCTACAAGTAAAGGCAGCATTCCCTGAATGACTGTTGAAATATAAAACAAGTAAAGATATTATAGTGGGCCGCGGTACTTTACACTGCTTCAATTCGGTACAGTTATTCATCCAAGCTATTAAACGAAGGCATTATATGGGGAGCAAAGTGGTCCGAGTAGAACCATTTTCAAAACTGTTTTTTCTTGCGTCAAAACACGAGGGTACCATATCTCATCGACGTATCTGGAAAATTTCGAAATTGACATGAATATAAGAATAGAAATCGGACAGACGGACAACCAGGCTTCGAATCACTTTCTGAATCAATCGATAAAATAATGGGTGGGTCTATCTCAACTCCTTCTGGGTGTCGTATGCATTCACATAAACTGAATATATCGTTATGCCATCAGGTGTTGAGGCTATAAAATGTGCCTATGTATTAATTATTAGAATTCGATTGGAAATTGAGTTAAAGATAATAGAAATATTTACAACGATTTAAATCGATTAACTTATTTCAGTTTTTTTGTGAAATTTTGATTGCATTTACAACTGCAAAGAGAGTTTAACTAAGCGTAAGCAGCTTTTTGCGAAATTTGTTTATAAATATTTAAATTCATTTACCAAAAATATTATCTTTTTAAGGTATTCTCAAAGAGGTCAACTCATACTTGTTGTGCTCGCGATTGCATTTAGGTTTGATCTCATTTACGCATATTAACTAGTGTCGTTTACTTTGAGAGGTAAGAGATGCCGGTAAAAGAGAGTTGAGTTTAGGTAAATATTAGAGAGACTGAATGATTTAAATTTTTTTTTTTTTTTTTTTTTGCCTTGAGTTGTATTTCGACGAGATATTAGTTAAAAACGCGTGTATATGTTTGTCAGAGTCTTTCTAATGATTCATGAATTTTAATCGCCGCTAATTTATAGAGTAAGATGATGGGATTATAAAAGAGAAGACAACACAAAAGATTATATTTTTATTATGAGAAGACAACACAAAAGATTATATTTTTCTAAGGAGATGATTCAAGGAAGGCAAGGACACGGAAGAATTTTTATATTTGTTATGGAATTCAAGGGAAATAAATTGTGATGCTTATAAATACATTTACAGTTTATTGCCTTAAATTTCCGTCATTTAGTTATGACAATGATTAAAAATCATCAAGATATTGGAACTTGTTTCGGATTAGTTGGTAGTTTATTAAGAGTTTTAGTACGAGCAGAATTCGGTTATCCAGGAGTTGTAATTGGTTACGATCAAATTTCTAATGTAATTGTTATAGTTCATGCTTTAACAATATATTGTAATTCCACTTATACGGATTATTTGGAAGTAAATTAGTTCATTAATATGAGGAACTACTGATCTAGGCTTTCCTCGAATAAGCAAAGAGAGTTTTTGACTTTTACCTTGCACTCGTGCATCTTTAAAATCTCTTTTAATAAGCAGTATGGTAGGAAATGGAGCTGATACTGATTGAACTCTCCGTCCTCCTCCTCTGTCATCTACGAGCATCGGCACCGACATTTGCTTAAATCAATATATTGAAAAAATTTTCCGAGGCTTGCTAGAGCTCATGTTTTTGATTATTATTATGTGGCGGAACGGTGAGAGGAAAGTCAAAGAGGAAGGCAAAAAAACCGAGATCACTATATTGTATAGTTTCACAAAACTTGAATAAACCTTTGCATTTTTTTTTTTTTGTATAACACTACTAAACAATAGACTAAACGATAAACTTGAAGACCATTCCTTACAGTTTTCACAATTTGACACTTAAGAAACATTCATTTCGGAAAAGGATGCCGGTAGCCTGCTGAGGGTAATTTTTTATCATATCTTGAAATAAATGTTGATAGGGAGGAATTCAAGAAAAACATAGTTCGTCTGTGATGTGGGGCTAATTGTAATTGATGGAAAAGGTACAGGCGGACAGACGTACTATTCCCCTATTCATAGTGATTCATAGTATATGTAAACATCGTATTCTCGTTTATTTTGTTTTGCCTTTTCGTTCCAAGTTTCTTTTTGCAGATTCCATAACAAATCAATCTTCGATACCCTATCACGAGTAACATTAACGAGAAACGCTCTATTTACCTTAATTGTAAGCGCGTAATGGGACTGATTCTAGGCGTCTTAAAAACATAGTTACAGAGGCTCTTATATAAAAGCCTGGGCATAAGGACGTTTTCTTCTTGTAATAGTATTACTTGTTATGCTTCGTTGATGTGTTCTTGATGTACTTTACTTTGGTTAACACTTTCAATTTTTCTTTATGCCAATAATTTACACATAGGTTCGTACTTCCTTTTGGGTAGCGTGGGCATACATTTAGGCATGGATCTATTTCTGTGGTTTAAGAAATTCAGACATAAGCAGATGGGATGTTAAAATGTTAAGCCATATTTTAAAACTTGTAGTCCATTTGACCATATCTACGGGCTCATTTACCGTTATATTGTTTGAATACGGAA